CCCCAAAACCCCAAAACCCCAAAACCCCAAAACCCCAAAACCCCATAATGCTAAATTTAATAGATTATCAAAAATTATTGAAATAAAAAAATTATAATTAAAGCTTACAAGTAGATTGAAATAATAGTCCTATTTACCATATTTAATGAATTAATTTCTATGATCATTAATCTAAGATTACTCTATAAACTTCCATTTCTTTGACTGTAAAATTAAATGAACCAGCAAGGTAACTTTTTCCTTCTACAGAACCAACTGCAATTCCTTCAGGCAGTTTGTAAGTAGTTCCTAAGCTTGAGTTAGTGTTAGGATTTTTGTCACAGTTTGAGTAGATCATAAAATCATAACCAAACCAAAGCATAAAAGTGTCTGTGAAATATAAAGCTTATTCCTAATGCTGATATTACTCATGTTTGGTCTTTTTAGTTAGACTAAAGACAAAAGCGTTTTCGTCTCTAACCCAGTCACCTTAATTCCTCCATCCTATTGATGAGTAACCTCCAAATACTTGATCATGCTAAGATTTTATTATGCCAACAATAGGTCCTTTTTGATTAATCATCTCATGCATCTTTTAGGAAACGAATGTATCCCTTGTTCCCTTATATAAAAGTTCAAATTCAGTATTTTTTCCTTCTTCTTCTCCATGAATCCATCCTTTCAAAAGTTCTTCATGTTCATCTGTCAAATTAAAGATAGATATTGAATCCTCACTAAAATCAATATTTGATTTTCTATTCATTTTTAGTTTTAACCCTTTTTATTATTTTTTGTCCAAATGAGGTAGAAGTTCATCTTAAATCTCTTATAACATATTTATGAATATTTCAGCTCTATAGCTTTTATCTTGACAAATGAAATTTTAAACTTCCTAGATGAGATCAGTTATCTTACCCCTCCTCTCTTTAAGTCTGATTAAAGCCCTTTCACAGAATTCTTAAATATCTCATGAAGCAACATGATCAAGTTTTTCAGCATGAGCTCTGTGAGACTTGTGAACACATAAGTGACATAATAATTCTCTGTGAATATTGCAGTAATACTCAGCTATCATGTTAATATGCTCTTAACATGAAATTTATAATAATTCTTATTACTGTTATTTGATCTTTTGAATTTTATCGCTGAACTTTTATGATATTAATAAGGTTTCTTTATCAACAGGGCATATCAGTTTACTTTCTTGAGGCTGTAAAAGTGTTTCAAAGCATGATAGGCAAATTAAATCACCACAAGGTAACATAAGCTGGTGTCTATAAATAGCATTAAATTTTTGATTGCATTGTTCACATTTAGTTTCTGATTCCATTTTCTGATTATGATTAGTATTCTGATAAAGATTAATTTAAATGTATAATTCAAATGATATATTTTCTTTTATTAAATAATTGAAAATTAATTAAAAAGTATCATGCTTTATAACTCAAAAGAATTACTCTTACAATTTAAGTATAAAATAAATATAATATTGGGATTAAAAATATCAAATCACAATTATGAGTAACACTTATCAGCAAAACTCTCACAGAGAATCTAAAGACTCTATCAGACAAAGGCATAAAAGCTAGCTTTCTGTCTATAAAAATAATCAGAATGAAATATACTTCAACAGCAATACTTCTTTTCTTGATATTGATAATGGAGCAAGCCTTAAGAAAAAATCTTCGAGAGAAAAAGAAGGATTAAATATAAGTAATCTTAAGACTCTCTCAACTAATAACGCAAGTTAGTACTCAAGCATTGCACATCTTAAATCTTCAATATAAAATACAAATGATAAAAGCAATTAACAGTCAAAGGCTTCTCTATTAGTAAAGGGAAGACTAAACAGGGACAAGGTAGGCTAAAACATTAACATTAATTCTTTCCTTGAGAGTAAGGACAGGCACAGCATGTTCATGCCTAATGTAAGTTTGATAGAGGGAACTACTGCTATCAATACACCTTTGCCACCAGGGAAAAGACTAGATACTAACTCAGCATAGTCTAGCTAAAGATGATACGTAAATACTAAGTAATCTGCTCCAAATGTAATAGAAAAACTTTACGATAAAAATTCTCTGATAAACATAAAAGCTCACAATTAATCCTAATTTGATCACTACTAAGAATACGTAGACGATGCATTGACGTTTAACAAACACAGCAAGAGCACTTCTCACAATAGAGAAACAGGTGCTCGACCTTCTTAACTTGTACCACAAATAAAAAAGTATCAAAGTTCAATCTCAACAAAGAAGTACAGTTAGAATAGTAAAATTTCTAGGCATTTCAATGTCAAAGACATCAATAACTCCGCAGCTATCGAAATTATGAATACTGAAGGCAGTAGCTCCTCTAAAAAGGATAAATTCAGCAATTTTGGTCTAAGTTTTGTTAGTAGCATTAAAGGTAAAAAAAACTTTAAGTATCTAGAAAAAGCTAATTCTCCTAAAAGGTCTCCGTAAACTAAAATGAAAAGAACCATTTCTTAAACAGACGGTAAGACAGACCAAGCAGCTGAAGAGTAGTAACAGAGATTTCTTCAGTACAGAGATAAGTTGGTAAGTACTTTAGAAAAGCTCCAAGATAGTGCTGAATAATGCTACTCCTCAAAGGATAAGAAAGGCTGCGTTTAAATACTATAAAATATGTCCTAGATATCATTGGTTACCTCAGAAATTGAATTGTATAAAAAGGTTTGGAATATATTAGCCTTTGTTCACTTAGCTCCACCCAATAAGAACCCTCGAAAGGCGATAGAAGCCTTTAAGAAATTGAGAGACGCTGCCCAGGAAGATAAGGACTTTGATTGCAAGATGTATGCCTACCAATAGATGGGCAAATGCTATCAAATGATGAAGGAGTATGCAAAAGCTATTCTTTGCTTTAAAAAGTAATTGCAACTAGCTTGGCATATAGAAAGCTTGGAAGGTGAAATGAATGCCTATGATAACCTTGCAATCCAGTATTATTACGAAGGAGATTTGGAAAAATCTAAATACTACAATGATCGAATGATAAGAGGTAAAGTTGAAGCCAGATTTTCAATCGTTAGGAAAATGAGCTAAAACCATGCTGTTAAGAAATTTAAAGTTGGAAGTCATAGAAGATTTGCTGTAGTCTAAAACATAGCTTAGGGTATTAAGAAGCTGCTTAGTGATAATGATAAAAAGCGTGACATGTCTAAGCTAGAAGAAAGTTTCACCAAAGCTGAACTCTAAGCTCGAATGATATCAGGTAACGGCAATGGAAGAAAAGGCTTAAATGCGATAGCTCATCTAGCTATAATGGCTAATTTAGAAAGAGATGACAGAGATATCAACGAAAGAATGAATGCTCCAGTTATGGTGCTAAGATCAGGTACTCCAATTTCTGATATTTCTGGTAGGGATTTACCGTCTCCAGCAGATATTAAAGGGGAAAATAATGTACTTCTGCTTCCATATTACCAAGAAGTTGAGAGAAAGGAAGGTGGTGGTGGAGGCCATTTGGTGAGTATAATGCCTGATCCTGATGCTCTTACTAATATTGAGGATGTCCTAGCTAATAATCCTCACAAAAGATCTCGAAGTCACTTGGTTACTAATGATCAAATTAATAAAAAGTAAGGCCATCCTCATAAAAAGCGAGATGCGAGTGCTGGCTTTGAAAACTATGGCTAAGATGAAGTTGACATAAAACTATAATAGGAAATAATTAAAGTTGAAATCTCTAAGCCTTCAAAAAGACTATTCAATCCTAACTCTAAGTATCTTCAAAGGTTAAAATAGTAAGAAGAATAAGATAGCAAGATAGAGAGATTATAGATTGCAATGAAGGAACAAATGTAAAGGTAAAAACGGAATAAATCAATGACTGGTGAGGAAGGAGTGGATTCGATTAATGATAGTAATGTTGCCTATGGACTAAACATGAAGGAGATTATATAAAAAGCTGAAATTAGACGCTGGGGTAAGGCGAAGGAGCAAGTTAATTTGTAGCACTTAAGTCCAAATAGAAACATTAAGAAAATCAAGTATTTCGATGAGGTAAGAATTATTACTCTATTCATATGCTCACATATTATTAGGTGTAATAGTACGAAACAGAAAGAAAATTAAAGGAATTTGGCAAGTTCATTGACTATGAGAGATTCAGTTTGCAAGCAGTTAAGAAGCAGCTATATTGATACTATGATATTAACTTCTATAATGATAGATAAATAGATCTTATTAATGACAGTGAATATTTAATGAAAATACAACTAAGATTAATGTTCATAATATTAATTAAATTATTATACCTTAAATATGTTACTTCCTTTAGTCACGCTAGGCCTAATTGTACACTCATTTTTGAGATTTACCTGATTTCTTATAGATATTCTTGATATATTTTGTCAGATGGTTCTTTGATCCTTATTTTAGATGGAGGAATTAAAAGAAAGAAAAAGAGTACAACTTTGAGATTTTTAATAAAGTATAGAATTGAATTGTATGAGAACGGGAAGCAGATTAAAATTGAGAGTCCATATCTTTTAGCAAGCTAAACTCATGACATTGATTTGTCTATAGTAGTGCCAGCTTATAACGAAGAGTCACGCTTGCCCACTATGATGACTGAAACATTAGAGGTTAGATTTAATGGGAAGTAATGAGAAATGTGTTTTAGTACCTAGAGTTGAAGCTAAAGGAAGGTAAATTATTGAAGTCTGTGGAGATTGTGATTGTCAATGATGGCTCTAAGGACAAGACAATGAATCTTATCCTAGATTACACCAAGAAATACCCCACCAACCAGAGATTATGCATTAGAGGAGTCAATCAAGTATAGAATTAAGGAAAAGGCAGTGCAGTCAAATAGGTAAGTGAAGTCGAGAGAGATAATTTACTAATTTAGGGATGCCTTTATTCACGAGGCAAACTGATATTATTCACAGACGCAGATGGGGCTACAGACATTAGGGGGCTAGACACAGTGCTAAATGAGTGTGTTTCAATATCTAAGAACAACCTTGGATGTGCTATTGGTTCAAGAAAAGAAGAGAATGCAACAGTTGAGGTAAGGATTGATAGTTTACCAATTGTGCTATTTTTAGAGAAATGCATTGCGTTAATTTTTATCTTGGGGTATGCACACTGCAGTGCAACTGATTCTAAGAAACAACATCAAGGATACTCAGTGTGGTTTTAAAATATTCACTAGAGATGCTGCAAAGCTTGTATTCCCAACTTAGCATCTGGAAAGGTGGTCATTCGATGTAGAAGTGCTATATTTATGCGGTTAACACGGAGTTCCAGTGAGAGAAGTAGGTGTAGTATGGCACGAGGTAGATGGTTCACACTTGAATGTAGTTGAAGCTTCCATATAAATGCTAAGGGATATGTTCCTCATTAAGTTGCTATACACTGTTAGGCTTTGGAAGCAATCAGATTTAAGTTATTGAAAGAGCTGATTTAGGATAAGTTAATAAATAGTGAGTTATGTAGTTATCAGACCGAAAAATAAAGTGAGATTAAATTTAAGCAGATCAATGATAGTACTTATATGTAATTATTGGTCCTCGCACATATGTTCTTTTAATCTCGCAAATCTTTCATATCTTTCATCAGGGGTTTTGGGGTTTTGGGGTTTTGGGGTTTTGGGG